TTTGTTGAGGTAAAAGATCATACAAGGAGAGGATCCTGGTTCGAAATTCGAATACAGTATTTTCATAATATAAAATCTAACAATATTTTAGTACTACTTAACAAACATATGTATATAGCTTCTGTCAAACTTTTTACATTGTATCTAAGACACCATTTACAGGTTCATGAAACTTAAACTAGCAACAAATCCCAGATCAACATAACAAAATTAAATCCACAACCCAAAAGTCTCATATGGGAGTACAGATTAAAGATACCATAAGTTATAAAATCCCAAACAAGCTTACATAACAAAAGTCAGAAACCAGAATTGACGTCTGCAGGAAACAGATATCAAAAAGAAAGTCGACATTCCAATGGCATCCTCAACTTGGTCTTCATAGCCATTCATCACCACCATTATCATCAAAATCAGTATCAAGACCATCGTAACCAAATTCCCCCGTCCCAGTAGCAATTTGACATTCAGGAATGTAACCTAAGTAAACAAAAACCAATGAATGAAGAATGACCATGTTAGTAGAAAATAACAGAACAATACCAATGCAATAACAGAACAATACCAATGCTCCTAAATATGCACAAATTATTGAAGTGGTTTCATACCTTTCCAAAACCAATCTTGAGTGCACATTATAGCGTTCAATGTGTTTGGTTGAAGTTTACTACGATGTGGACCCAAAAGTTTACGGCCCTTACTAAAAATAGTCTCACAATCAATCGTGGATAGTGGAATGGCCAAGATATCTTTGGCAATTGTAGACAATATAGGATAGGTATCCTTCTTTTTCTTCCACCAATCCAGAATATCAAAGTCCATATCCATGTCTAAAAGATATTCTTTCAAGTAACTATCCACCTCCGAAATCACTGGGTTGTTACATGTCTTTTGATCCAAAAACAACTTAAATTTCTTCATATAAGAACCCATCCCTTTTCTTTTTACTGCATTGGAATGATCAACAGAACTGTCGCCACATTTTTTATACTCTTTCTCTAAATCAGAACAGAGGTTATATACCCTCTTAACATGATCTTCAGCTTCATCTCCATATAATTCGGAAAAGAAAAACTCAATATATTGCATCTTAAACCTAGGATCTAAAACAATAGCAACAGCCAGAACTCCATAAACAGCTTCCCAGTATGTGTCAAACGTGGCCATCATATTGGTAGCCATACTTTTTATCTCATCGTTAGAAGATTTCAGCCACCTGTTTATTGACAATCTAATTTCACAGATCATTACAAAAGCGTTAGCTGTCAAGTGTTTGGTCCCAGAAAGCATCTCTATCAATCTATAAAACACTTCCAAGTGCTCACACAGTTCTTTTGCCTTCTCCCATTCTGAACTTGTAGGTAAAGTTACATATTCTTCATCCCACTCCGTCAAACGAATAAAAACATCCTTATACTCCAACGCAGTACCAAGCATCACATAGGTTGAACTCCATTTAGGTTCAAAATCAGGCACCAACCTTTTAGTATATGCAACTCCCAAAACATGTGCACAATGCTTAAAATTCTTTCGTCTTTTAGATGTTGATCTCCAAAAGTGAAAACTATTTCTAATTTTCTGAATGACATGCTTGNGACGTTTCTAGAATGGCCACCATATGTGCTCATAGGGTTCTCACTATCAAGATTTGAAACACTTGATACCCTCGTCACGGTTCTACCATTCTAAGGACATATATCAATACATACAATGATGATTTACGCGATATAGAATAAAATGTCTTTTATTGATCAATGAACATTATTACAAAGAGTCAATTCTATAATAATTGATTGGCTCTAGGGCATTTACTCTAATAGGTACATGAGCCTTAGACGTATTGTTTATTGTTTATTGGGTTTGTTTGTAATTTTTATAAACAAGTAGGACTTGTGTGTCCTGCCTCTCTCTCTTAAATCTCCATTTATTTCTTCTCCTCATCTCACTCCCCTCGTATGTAATGCGAGGTTTCTATTTTATTGATGTAAATTAGAATAGGTTTTTTATTATAAAATTATTTGTAATGATAGTGAAGAAGAAACAAACGAGCTATGAAGAGGAATAACTTGAAGATCCAAGATTTATTTTTAAACCCTAGGTTGACCCACCGATTCCTCTAGGCTCGAGGAAATTGGTTTTAGTGGGCCATGTACCGGCACGTTTTATTTTGTTTAGAATGCATGCTAAGGTTGAATGTTCAATAACATGCCAAACAATGACATTCTAACAAAGATAATAATCTAGTGAGACATTAAATAAAAACCCTCAAATAAGATATATTAAGTCACGTATGTCTTCCATCACCATGGTTTTAATCAAATCACTGTTCATCAGAACCTTGTTTGCCACAGCGAAGGGTACACTTCTACCAGTGGGAGGTTAAAATTCATTGGAGTTTTCCTCAATGATAATGGGTCGACTTAAAATGATAGTTTTGCTTGCTCGCCACAACAAAGGTTGATAAACACGTCATAGGCATAGTAGAGAAGTACACATGTTGAGTGTACGTGGCGACATGTAGTATCCACTCTACTGATACTAGGAATCACACTTGAGCACGATGGCTAGCCCGTTGGATTGTGTGATTGGCTTGTTGGCTTACTTCACATTTGAGGTTGGTAGTGGGAGCTATCAACTGGTGTGGATTAAGTTTGTTAGCCTACCTAATCAACCCATTTTGGCTTGTTCGCCACAACGAAGGTTTGAAATGGGCCAGATAGGATCTCAGTCCACTAAGAAAGCCAACGGGCTTTCCCAAGTTAATAGTAAGGGCTATTGGCTTGAGGAAAATAATGGGAGTGTTTTTTAATAAAAGACCATATTAAGAAATAATAAACATTATATTGACTTTACTTTTCTGAATTGTAGATTTACTTAAAAAATGAGCATTATAAACCTGCGACCAATAATCAAGAAAGAAAACAGGTTGGATGGATCCAATTTCTCGGATTGGTATCGTAATCTTTGGATTATACTTAAGTCTGAAAAGAAATTGTATATCCTTGATAAGCCATACATGGCTGAGCCTGATCCTGATGCCACTCAGGAAGTAAAGGATACTTATCAAAAGTTCATTGATGATGCTGATAACGTTCAATGCTTGATGTTAGCATCGATGACACCAATGCTATAAAAGCAACATGAGAATATGGACGTTGCTGCCATTATTCTATACCTCAAGGAGCTTTATGAAGGGAATGCTCGACATGAGAGGTATAAGGTGTGAAAAGCACTGTTTGGAAATTGTCTGACTGAGGGAGCCCAAGTTGGCCCTCATGTGCTCAAAATGATCGAGCACATGGAGAGGCTTGAGACTTTGGGGTTTGAGTTAGACGCAGAATTACAAGTGGATTTAATTCTGCAATCCTTGCTTGACTCTTATGCACCGTTCATAATGAACAAAATGGTGAAAATCCTATCGGAGCTTTTGAACATGCTAAGGACCGTAGAGCAGGACTTGAAGAAGTCCAAGCCTGTTTTACTGGTAGCTGCCAGTAAAGGAAAGGGTAAGGGCAAAGGAAAGGCCAAGACCAATCCCAAGTTCAAGCCTAAAGGACAGGATGCTCTCAAGCCTACGGGTGGCATTGGGAAAGGTGGGAAGGTAGTCTGCTTTTATTATGGCAAGCCTAGCCATTAGAGGAATCATTGCAAGGCTTTACTCCCAAACAAGAAGAAGTCAGATGCTTCGACTTCAAGTATGTTTATGATTGAGATTAACTTCTCTCTTTCAACATCTTGGGTTATTGACATAGGATGTGGTACTCACATTTGTACTGATATGTAGGGACTAAGGCAGAGTCGATTGCTCGCCAAGGGAGAAGTGGACCTACGAGTTGGAAATGGAGCACATGTGGCTGCATTAGCTGTAGGGACTTATTGTTTGTCTTTACCTTCGAGCTTATTATTAGAACTCAAAGACTGATATTTTGTACCTACGATTTCTAGAAACATTATTTCNTAGTTAATTAATTAGGAATATTGATTTTCTAGGTTAATTAGTAAAAATGAAAAAATTATAAATTTAGTAGATTATTGAATAATAGTGATGGGATATTTATAACATTATAAATAAATAAATATTAAGGTCATTTAACTTTAAACAATTTCATAGCATTACTCCTCACTTTTTAGGTGGGGTTAACTATTTTTTCTTTTTTTCTTTTTTAATATTTGACTTTTTGGCTAGTTAAAAAATAATAAAAATTTATAAAGTTAAATATTTAAGGGTATTTTTATATTTTCAGTAAAATATTAACGGAAAATATAATAGAATCTAACGAAGGGTCAAAAAATGTTGTTTCGCCAAACCTTGGGTGGGGAATATGTCATTCTCCCATTTATATAAGAACAAAGCTACGGACATCGAAAATTTTGCACCGAAAATGTGTACCGGCTTACGTGTACCCCTGACTCACACCACGCTTGATTTTCTATAATTATTTTTTTAGTGAACGGCCGTCCATCAAATATGGACGGCCGTTCACTCACATGGACTCTCGTCCATATTATATGGACAGGAGTCCATTTACTACGGACGGGCGTCCCCATTTAAAGGACGCCCGTCCATACATAAAATGGAATAAATTTTTTTTATAAAAATTAGGGACGACTGTTCATAAATTTTGGATGGCCGTCCTTAACCAAAATATGAAAATAAAAAAAAAAATAAAAACTTTGGGGAAAGCCGTCCATAAATTTTGGACGGCCGTCCCTTACGTTTGGACAGGCGTCCATTTGTCCCTTATGTTTGGACCAACGTCCATTACGAATGGATGCCCATCCATACTTTAAAAAAAGAAAAAAAAAAAAAGAACGTTTGGACGGGCGTCCATTATTTTGGTTTCTAAAAATTAAAGAAAAACTTTGGATGGGATGGGCATCCGTAAGGAATAGACGCCCGTCCATTACTTACGTTTTTAAAAATAAAAGAAAAACTTACAGTTTCACGCAAGGCTGATGGGTTTGAGATCGCCAATGCAGTTAGGAAGTGCTCATTAGTTACAGCCATTGAATTCAACACCTCAGCATCACTTGTCTCGTCCTCTAAGTCAATGACATCCATTTTCTCCCGGATACACTAAAGGGCCGCTTCAGTACAGAGAGCAACAAGATCTGCTCCCACATAACCATGGGTATCTCTTGCAACTCTTTCAAGATCAACCTAAAACATGCCATCAAATAAGAATGTCACTATACTAAAGAAAAAAGACATAAAATGATTTATAAAANCACAAGCAGTGGTTGAACATCAGGAGGAGGTTACTCCATAACTTATGGATCAAAGTGAACCACCTCAAGTAGCACAGGAGCTACGTAGATCTGGGAGAGTACGCCATGAGCCTGAGAGATATGGTTATCTCGTGACTCAACATGGTGACATACTTGTCTACCAAGACAATAAACCCAGAACCTACGAAGATGCTATATCGGATCCAGATTCCGTTAAATGGCTTGAAGCCATGAAATCTGAGATGGACTCCATGTACCAGAACTAAGTATGGTCTCTAGTAGAACCACCTGAAGGGGTAAAACCCATAGGGTTTAAATGGGTCTTTAAGAAGAAGACTGACATCGATGGCAAGGTGCACACTTATAAAGCATGACTGGTTGCCAAAGGTTTCAAGCAAATTCATGGTATTGACTATGAGGAAACCTTTTCACCAATTGCCATGATTAAATCCATCGAGATTATGCTTACGATTGCTGCATATCATGATTATGAGATTTGGAAAATGGATTTCAAAATGGCTTTCCTAAACCAAAACCTTGAAGAGGATGTGTATATGACACAACCCAATGGTTTCATTCTTGATGGGCAAGTTGAGAAGGTATGCAAGTTGCAGAGATCCATTTATGGACTCAAGCAAGCTTCAAGGAGTTGGAACATTCGTTTTGATGAAGCCGTAAAAGAATTTGGTTTTATCAAGAACGAATATGAGCCTTGTGTTTACAAGAAAGTGAGTGGGAGCGTAGTGGCATTCCTAGTGTTGTATGTCGATGACATACTTCTGATCGGGAATGATATATAGAACTTGCAGTCGGTAAAGACTTGGTTATCCAAGTGTTCTCCATGAAAGAGTTAGGAGAAGCAGCCTACATCCTCGGAATAAAGATCTACCGTGATAGATCATGTAGGTTGTTTGGCCCAAGTCAGAGTACATACATTGATAAGTTACTAAAGAGATTCAGTATGGAAGAATCCAAGAAGGGATTTCTTCCGATGTCACATGGTGTCTATCTCTCTAAGGATATGTGTTCTAAAACACACGATGTGAGAGATAGAATGAAGAGGATCCCATATACGTCAGCAATTGGATCCATCATGTATGCCATGTTATATACTCGGATTGATGTGCTTTAAGCACTTGTAGTATATTTCAATCGGATCCAGGTGAGCGTCACTAGATAGCTGTCAAGAACATCCTTAAGTACTTGACGAGACTAAGGACTTGTTCTTGGTTTATGGAGGGGAAGATGAGCTCACTGTAAGAGGATACAATGATGTTAGTTTCCAAACGGATAAAGATGATTATCGATCGCAATCAGGCTTTGTATTTTGTCTCAATGAGGGAGCAGTGACCTGGAAGAGCTCCAAGCAAAGCACTGTAGCGGACTCTACAATGGAGCCTGAGTATATTGCATTATTCGATGCGACTAAAGAGGCAGTCTGGATTAAAAAGTTTGTCACCCGAACTTGGTGTGGTTATAGAGATTGTTGATCCAATAGATATCTATTGTGACAACAATGGAGCAATTGCTCAAGTAAAGGAACCACGATCTCACCAGAAGTAAAAACAGACTTAGACGTTTCCTCTCCTCAGAGAAATGGTTTTATAAAAAAAGGGGAAGGAAAGAAAGATGTACAGATCGTAAAGTACTACTGATGACAATCTCACGGATACACTTGCGAAGCCTCTGTACAGCAGAAGCATGAAAAACAGTAAGGCATCGGTATACAATACATGAATGATTGGCTATAGTGTAAGTGGGAGATTGTCAGAGTAGGTGCCCAGAGCCAATCGCTTATTGTAAAATGATTCTGTATAAATGTTTTATTTATCAATAAAAGGCAATATTCTTCTATATAATGTATGTAATGATTATATGTCATTAGGATGTAGAACCGTGAGAGGGATCAAGTGGTTTCAAATCTTGATAGTGAGAACCATCTGATAAACATATGGTGGCCATCCTAGAAACTTCTGTAGCCCCACCCCCCCCCTTCTCCCCCCACCCCACCCCCCCACAACCCACACTTTCCACCCCTCCCCCCCCTCCGCCCCAGTTATTATTCCGACCAAAGACACAGATAATATGGTAAGGCTATCTAGTGTCTGAACGACCCTGTCGAAGGCAATGACTGATCTCAATTGTCAAGTGTTTGCAGACACTGGTGTTGCAAACGAAGGGGTGCTTGCTAGAGGCAAGTTCATATCTGGACACCCACCAGAGGATCCATAGGATGGAACCCGGGTATGGAATAAATCTTCTAAACGGATGGTGGTGCATGTGATCCTTTAGACTTGAGACACCAGAGCAATTGTGCACCAATAGTGTAGTTGACACTAGCCCAACGTAGTTTATCAAGAGCTATCATACGGTAGGGATGGGCTACGCTAAGAAGGGTATCGAGGAATATGGTGGATCGACAAATGAGTTTCATCACTCCTAGTTAAGAAAGAATGTTAATCTCACTGGGTAATTCAGTAAATGCACCAAACAAAAATGACACTAATCTGTGGCCACAGGGGATGAGTTGATGCTCCATCCTATTTAAATTCCGTCATTGGTCTAGTAACTGGAATACAAACATGTCAGAGGGCTATCTAACGTTGACAATACTTCTATACCTCAGTCTCGATAAGATAACAGTGCTGAAAGTTTGATTGCACAGTTAACCCTATCGTGACAGGCTGCGGGTTCGCTGAATCCAAATCCATCAGGTGGCCATGATGCCTCGTGCCTAGAAGACCAATCTTGGTCTGTGTTAGTCAGACGGTTAATGGTGTTTTGGTAGCGCGTGATATCTACTCACTACCGATATGATAAGAGCCTACGGGTCACACACTTAGAAGATAATTTACGAATCAATTTGTGAGAAGGGGATATTTCATCTTCTCAGATGAAAGGATATTTTGGTAACTCACAGTGGCAATAATGTGTGAGGTGTTGCCTTATTATTTTAATATTAAAATTAAATTAGGGAGATTATATTTAAATATATCTAGGTATATATTTAAATGAATTATATTATAATTGAATGTAATAATATATTATATTAATTGATTTATTTAATTATAATAATAATTAATAATTAAAAATATCATAAAGGGTGTGTTTGGTTGCAAGGGTGAACTAGGGTGGAGCCATTGATATTCTAATTGGAATAGAGTTTTACTGTTGCACTACACTAAGTGCAATTAAAATTTTCAAACATAATGGAATATTTAGTCAATAAAACCGTGCCACCCTACTCTCTCTCTTCAAGAAGAAAACTTGTCTTGTTTACTTCTGATTGTTGAAAGCCCTTGATTGTTCTAGCAATAATGAGGGTTTACAGATTATTCTTCGTGTGGACTTTCGGGTCGGCGCTACTTGGCATCTATGGCGCGAACAAAATCAAATGAACAGAGAGCGATAACAGTAGATTATGAAACAGGACGGAATGTAAATTGTGAACAATAGAACGGAACGAATGAACCATAATATAAAGATCAGTGTTCCTATTGACATCAGAGATATCGAAGGAGCCTCCAAACGTACGAAGTATTCTAATATTGAATGGATTACTTTTATACAAATGTGTTTGTTATAAAATGTAAACAGTATAATCTATACTCGACTAGGCAAAGAAAGGTAAGTGATTTACCGATTGATTTTGTTTTCCGTTGCGTATGAGTAGATCCAATTTACTTACAGTCAAATCTGACCTTAATTTTGCAATGACTATTTTATTCTCTAATCCACTTCATTTGTAACTGTGCAATTAATTTTGCAATACTTACATAACCCTAACATTGTCGTGGCTTTACATCAATTAACCATGCATCAATTGCATTTCAATTCACACAATAACATTTATCTTTGCTGGTTTTCAAGACATGATTCTTTATCCATTTCAAAAGTAGGAATCGAACGGCTTGAATTGAAATCCAACTATAATAATATGAATTGAAATCTAATACTGTATACTAAAACATGAATTATAAAATAAGAAATCCAACAATAATTTTTGTACCGACCACCTCATTAAGTATAACTTCTCATAGTAATAAAATTAGTTAGTCCATCATTATGCTATAAAGAGGTTTTTCATATCTACCATCTAGAGCATGTTGACATATATAATTTGGTTTGCATCACACTTAACAGTTGTAAGCCTTATGATGAAGGACACTCTTGTGTCATAGACTCAAGATGTAGGGAAGTAGTAGTGTATAGTTGGATTGTTGCATTTAGTTTGGAATAAACTAATATGTATTTGCAGTCTTTAGTTTTGTCATGAGACAATATTTTAGTAGAAACATTGGTTGGAATTAATGCTCCATCCCTGCTTGATTTGTATTCAGTTCAATAAAGTTAATAGTTGACATGTTGATCAATAATTGGTTTTTAAAACTCAAATCCAACCCAATCGATTGGTTGGAACCAGGGCTTTGGTCAATGCGTTGTGACATTTTTACATAAAACTGGGCTATGCAAATTAAACATGAGCGTGACCCAAGTTGGGACCAATGGACAATAGACGAACACGTTTTTTTTTTGACCAACCAGACTGGGGGGCCAAAATCTGGTCATAATTAAACTCTTAAAGTTTCTCAATTGGTTGAATGGGGGGACTATACTGGCCACTGCGACTTTTGCGCGATCTCAGCGAGCAAATGCGCCTACAAGTGGTCACTCGCAGTGCTAGCACCTGCTTGCCCTAAAGACCACCAACAAGGCACCCCCATTGCACAATTGTGTGGACAATAGGCAGTGTCGCGCCTGGATGCAACCCGCGTGCAGTAATTGGCATACACCCCCTCGCCTGGGCCAATGTCCCAACCCCGCTCTATAGTTGAGTGTTTTGAGTTTCGACACATCCTATGCTTGACCGTCCACTAGATATGTTTTGTTCTGGGGGTTTGTCTTTAAGGGTTTTAGTTTGTGGAATTGACA